CATAGTGAGCGGCGCGAACAGATTATTCACGAGCGGTGTCACCACAAAATGTGAACTACCCAGCTCGCCGTCTGTCCGTGATTCGTTCACGCTGCTATCTGAGAGACCACTAACGCACGCACTACCCGTATTACTAAGGCTCGCCTCTGCGAGCTCCATGTCTGACATGGTGTCCATCACGAAGTAATCCGCGATATTGAACTCCGACGTAAATGGCGATTCGTCACCCGCGCGTTCCGGCTCCACCTCGATGCATATGGACGTCGCGTCAGGTGGGAACGGGTATGGAAGCTTGGATCGAGACATTGTTGGCTCAACGTCCGAGTCCGTGTCGTCAGTACTTTCCTCGCTTGGACTATGCACCGACACAGGCGGAGTCTTTGGTCGAAAATGTAACCTGCCCAAGACAGAAATACAAATGTAACAAATACGTAATACAATTATGTATAAAAGTTATTTTTCCTTCATTGATGAGTATAAATAATATTAAATATTCTTTAAATATAAATGTAATTTAATAATAAATATTGAAAAGCGTACCACTCTTGTTTGATGGTAGTCGTTGCTGTAGTAGTCACGTTCGAATCCATTGTCTCGCGATTGGAGTCATGTATCGTGAAATCTAAAGTAGACCATATATCATCCATATCGGCCGTACAGCGGTCTAATATTACTCTACAAATCATCAAGAAAACGAACAGTCAAATAAATGTCATTGTATCTCAACATTTATCAGCTCAATAGATATCATACCTGCCACCACGACCAATTCTCCGTCGTGCGAAGCCAATACACCTTGGCATCGGTTTGCTAATGCTAGTCAGCGCAAACCTGTACTTTTTATCAGCAATACCGCCTTCGTTTTTATCACACCAAGGCCAATTTCCAAAACCACCTGATACAGGCTGTGCAAAGAGAAAAGTTTAAAATTCTAAGAAATCATTGACTATTTCTATCTTAATGACTTGTTTAATTGCAGCAACTTATAGAAAGGACTCTAGGCTTATATCGTAGATAATCTCAATATCAATTGATCCAATCAGGCAATGATCACAATAATTAATCAACTCAACATCATTACTGTACTTATATTTACAAAAAAAATGAATTAAAATATGATGCATCAGAGTATTTAATTTCAGCTTAGCCCAAAAACAGGATTCTTTTTCTTATTTATTCTTATCGGTCTAATTTCTATCAATAATAAACTAAATAGAATTATATTTTGAGAAAAAAAAACGTATAGTAACTTACCGGTAAATAAGAGCTATTCCTATTTCGACGAAAGGCGAATTGACCCTCGTCTGCAGTGTCTTCGTCATCGCGATCAGAGGGTAATGAGGGCTGGGAGTGTGACGGAAGCGGACTATCTTCATCTGAACTGATGAGCGGGTCCAACCCGCTTCCGAGAACTCCTGGGCGATTTCCTCGACCTCCACCACTACCAGTTCCGCTACGAATACCAGTGTCGTCCAAACTTCCTCCTCTGCTATCCGTTTTATGTTTTCGCTTTTTGTACTGTCTCTTTTCTTTCCTGGGTACTACTTCATCCTAAATTAAAAGAAAATTATGTTAAAAATTATACTATATAGCAGAAGGCAATATTGCTCCTTCGGAACATCCTAAAGATAATTTAATTATTAAAGATGAACAAATTCTTTCTTTAAAGCTGATACATACTTTACAAACTTTATTTGTCCAATTTTGATGAACACCGAACTGATTAGTAAAGAGTGGAGCAAACGCTGGTCTCGGTGCCTTTAACGCCGACACCTCTGATAATATTTGTCCACTGAAATCTTGCGCTTGATATCTGTAAAATTTCCATTTAACAAATACTGTAATGCATACCAAGATGTCATCATAGTTTCGTACAAACCGTTTCTCGTAAATCTCGATCGTGAGATGCAGATGTTCACGTTTTGTTTTTTCTCGGCGTTTCACCATTTCCAAAAGCGTGACTGCTCTACTAAGATCCCTACGAAGCTTTAACATTTTCTCATAGCTGGTTTCATCGTTTTTGCGATTCTTACGCGTTTGCATTTTCTCAGTACGTCGTCTGAATGCAAAATATGGATTATTGGCAGCAGAGCCAAATCGATTCTCTGTTTTAACAGTTAACAGCAAAGGATGTTGCTGTGGAAAATATATGTTATTATTAATATTGTATTCAAGAAATTAATTTAAAAATATAAAAAAATTTTAATTTTATGAAAAAAAAATAAAGAGAAAACTCATAGAATAAAATTTATACACATTCCTATATTTCTAAATTAATAATAAATATAATCTAAGTAGTACATAACCTCAAAAGTACATTATAAAAATGTGATACTTACAGTTTTGAGACGCTTGTTGAGCCAATAATCAAACACTGCGATAATCAAATCATCATCCTCCTTCAAAAGTGCCTTGGCTTCGTTAAGGGTAACTACCGTTTGTCCTGAACTTTTCTCCAGACGATCCATCATTTCCTCAAATTGGAGAGGAGTTAATTCCATCTTACGGCTTTGTAGTGCAACCCATTTTTCGTCTTCAGAATCCATATCGTAATCAGGTATGTCTTGTTCCATAGCAAAGGCTGCAAAAAGATGTAAATCCAATTATATATATATATATATATATATATATATATATGTATATATATATATGTATATATATATATATATATATAAAATTATCTATCGAAGATTAACACAAATTTAAAAAATATAATATAATAAAAACAATTTTAATATGCTCTTACGTTGCATATGTATTAATTGACGAGGCAGCTTATAATCAGCAGGATATATCTTGTTATAAGTCTCCGCATCTGCCAGATCAGTTACTTCAGGAGTAGGAATGATTAGACCCGTACATATCGCTCTTTGAAGATGATGTTCCTATAACAAATAGAATTATATATTTAATGAGAATCACATTATATTCTCATCTATCACATAATCATCGCTGTTATACATTCATAACACTTTCTGAATATATTTGCATACATACAAAAACATATTCAATATATTTAATAACAAACTTAAATTTTTTACCTTTAACAAACATAATCTTATTATGAGAATTTTATTTCAAACAAGTAGTTAAACATTTGAATACCATAATTATATATAAGCATTGTCAAATTATGTATGAATCAAAGAAAAGTATGAAATTATGAATGAACTTATTTGATTTATTATTATATAAACTGATATTTACTTAATCTCATCTTCAATGTAATGATACATTCTACCACAGCATATACTATACAAAAAATCATACTAGATTTAAGCAATAATAAACTAATAAATTATATTAAAACTCAATAGAAGATTGAAAAATTATGAATGTCTTTATTGATTCAGTGCTACACAACTGCAAATGTGCTTTCAAATTGTAAACAGTGTCTAACGCTACGTATGTGATACGGAGTCAACGAATTGGAACAAAAGGACATCCATTTTTTAATTTTCTTGCAGAAAAAGATTCTGACGTGTCATCGTTTTCAAATTGAAGATTCTTGCACCTAGAAGGTATCGCCAGGACATTGTCCAAGCATGAGGAAAGGAAACATTTGACATTTGGGATATAGGGAGTCAGTGCAACACAGGGTGGCGCGAGAGCTCGCGATTAACAGCGAACCAGACGTTGACATCTATCGCAGGAAGTCGAGTCAAAGGTAGAAGGGTACAGGGAGAACGAGCGAGAATCGCGAGTGAGCTAGTAATTGCGTTAAAGGTGGAAAATTGTTAATTTTCCAGGGTATACGACAACGGGTAGGCCGCCATCTGCCGGTTGTTTACGAAATTTTACGCCGTGGGTAAGATGGCGGACGGGGAAAACATGCTGGAATGAGATGCTGGACGTTCCGACTTACGCATTCCTCCTCCTTTTCCATGCCGCTGGGCATTTGGGGCACCGCGCGGTTAATGGCCGAATAATCTGGCAGATCCGGCAGCTCCTCGGCCATGTAGATCGGCATGGGCTTGGAGGCATCCAGGGCGCGCGCCCTGAACGACAGCTTGCTCATCCTGAGGGCGGCTGGCTCGCGCGTGTTGACAACCAAGGATGGCTGGCCGCACCGTAAGAGGCCAGTCGGGTCGGCTGGGGGGGCCTCGGGTTTCGCGGAACGCCGTGGACCTGGGCTATTGAGGCCTGGCTGGGGGCCCTGGGGCCGAATTACCCGGCACAGAGAGCGCTCAGGGCCTCATCGTTCCCCGGCCATCGCGCTGGAGCACGGTCACTCAGTCACCAAATGAGATATATCACTTTGAAAACATGTTTGCGTGACACGGTCCCTGCTCAAAGCCATCATGGCCGACGCACAGCCATTTAACACACGTTCGGCCGCCGCCGTGCAGTTCCGCGGGCCGACGTGTGCAGCGCGGGAATCGCCGCCGTTGTGACGCGGCCCGCGCACGCCTATTGGCTCCCACGCTCCCGCCGTATCAGCCGTATGCTGAGTACACACCGTACTCCCGTACTCGCTCCACGCGGAACTTTACTCCAACGTTGATCCACAACTAATCATACGACGATACACTCGACAAAAAAATCAGAATGACACGCACATCTACGTATTGTTTAATAAAATCCGTACTCTCTTATGTCTTTATATTTGCGTTACATACAAATACAATCTCGTGCAGATTCGTGTCCGTTGAACACCTAATTCTGAAACAAGAGTTTACAATTGTAGCATACATTCTTTTGTCCAAAAAAATTAATGTATATTGTTTTGTCTATATTGTCATAATTATGTTCTGGTGCTTCTCGTTACATTATATTTAATTATTGCGATACAACAAGGAGCGAGCATTTTTTTATTATTACAAGGAAAAATGAGGCGTCCCAGGCACGTTCAGTTGGAACTATTCTCGCGGCTTCTGCGCATGCGTCATCGCCGGTGCGACGGGTGCTTGAAGTTAGCTACGGACTACCGTCGACCGCGCCAAATCCGAAATGAGATCTTCGCTTTGCGAGATCCATTCGTTTCGATTGCATTCTCTGTATTTAAAATAAAGTAGAGCGTGTTTGTTTTGGGTTTCAGAGAAAGAAATATGAGAAGTTTAGGAGAAGCAACGAGAATGCAGTACTTTACAATGAAGCAAATCAATCTGTCGCGTTTACCGACGAGGCGCTTGAAATTATCTACGCAAAACGTCGCCGTCGAACGGCGCCAAATGCGCGACGGACGCGGTGATACTTCGTCACGTGTCACCGACTCCGTCGATTAAAAAGGGGAGGAAAACGGAAATTAAACGGCGATTATCGCCAGTTATCACACGCTTGACTCACGTAGCCCGCTCGTTGCGGAAATTGCACGGAGTTCGCGACAAAGTTGGGTGTGCAACATGACGCAGACCATTGCTGTCCTGTCTATGATTCCTAGGTTATCTTACCACCTGCGCTCGCAGTTGCCGAATCTGCGCATTTCGAACGTATCACCAGGTAACGGTGCTTTGCACGCGCACGATGCGACGCAACCGCGCCTCGAGACGCGGTTTCCTTGCTCGCTAATCGTCCCGCGTGCCGCCAATAACCCCCTCGCGACGAACACGTGTCGAATTCCCATTGCCACTGGTGGCGGCCTCCTGCTATTCCCGCGAGAGGGCGTACGCGCACCACCGCGGGAAAATTCGATATTATATATCACGTTTCGCCGTGCGAGCCAAACAGTGGCAGGAATTTAATTTTTTAAACATGATGGACGTGCAAAAAATCGATTTTACTAAAAACGCGTTTCAGATCTTATTAATTTAAGATTATCGTAATTTTTAAACACAGATGTACATCATTTTGATTGAAATTTTCCTTAGAATTCTTGTATAAATTTTAGAATTTTTCAGAATTCCTGAATAATTTTATAACTTCATAGAAAATTTCGTAGATCTTTTATACAAATTGAAACACTTTTCAAAAGTATCGAGGAAGTCTACATTTTTTTCTAGAATTGTACACGTGAATTCTAAAATTCTGAGATTTCTAAAATTTCTTGACTTCTGGTGAAATCTTATAAAAAAATCTAAAAGTTTTAGGTATTAGATATTTTTTCAGAAATTGTAGAATAAGAAATTTTTTAATATTTCAGACTTCCCATATAAAATTCTAAGAAAATTTTTTCAGTATTTCTGAAAAGTGTTATAATATGTATAAAAATTTTGAAAAAAAAAATTTTCACCTAAACAAAACAAAAAAAATTGCAATATGATAATCGCGACAAAAATATTTACCTCCAAAAAAATATCCACATAGCCATTTAAATATGTATTTTTTTAAATAGGACAAGTTGATACTTTATCCAAACTCAATGAGGCAGAAATATTAATAGCTGACTGTGATTTATTAATACCTTATGCAAACAAGTTGACATCGATCAAATGGATACAGGCGACCTGGGCTGGTTTGGATAAATTCATCCCACATGTGCAAAACACGCGAAGAGATTATATATTGACTCGTTTCTCAGGCGAGTCATTTGGTCTAGCCATGTCTGAGTACGTGATAGCGCAAATTGTCAACTACGAGCGTGACCAGAGACAACAATACGAGAATCAAAGGCTTGCTGAATGGAAACAAGAAGGCAGATTGATAAATCACAGATTTATACATGATTTAACCATAGGTATCTTAGGAATAGGAACAATAGGAAAGTCGGGTAAGCTGTGAATAACAAAACGAATTCAGTTATTTGCATTATACTAGTATAGATTAAAGCATACTAAAAACTGATATACAGGAAATTAGCAAAGCAAATGTAAAAACACATAAATATTTTAAACAATTAAATGCTCAATAATATTATCGTGTCACTCAATAAAATATACATGTATTATTTCATTGTCAAAGTTGATTGTGTCATTGAATTTAAATACTTTATACAAAACAGCTTTTAATATATACTAATCCAATGTAATATGAGTGATCGAATTCATCATTAAGTTTATATAAAACGTATAAGCAAATAATAAAGTTTCAATAAAAATGTTTTCTTTTAATATTTACATAGTTGCAGAGAAGTTAAAGTTATTTGGCGCAAGTATCTGGGGAATGACACGTACCGTTCCGAAAGAGAAATTACCATACCTCGATGAACACAGAACCGTAGATAATTTGCCGGACATCCTGAAAAATTGCGACTACATCATTAATGTGTTACCTTCAACTCAGGATACAATAGGACTTTTAAATGGCAACGTCTTGGAACATTGCAAAAGCAAGAATGCAGTTTTCATGAACATAGGCCGGGGTTCCGTTATTAAAGAAACGGATCTAATAAATGCTCTTGAGCAGAAGTGGATTTCAGCTGCTATTTTAGATGTGTTTGAAAAAGAGCCATTGCCAAAGGAGAGCAAGTTATGGAGCCTTCTACAAGTAATTGTTCTTTGTCAATTATCAACTAAAAAAATTTTAATCTTTAAAATTAACAATACTATTGTCTGTTTAGGTAACAATCTCACCACATAATTCAGGTATAACAACTGCTCATAATGTTGCGAAGCTATTCGCCGCGAATTATGCTAGATATGTAAATGGAGAAAGTATGATAAATGTGTTTGATTTTAATAAAGGTTATTAAAGGTTTAGGATTATACAATGTTTCATCACGATAACAAGAAGCATACACACAATAAATATTTATTGTTAAAATATACGTACAGATTGAAAGAAATATGTTTTAGATATCTTGAGCTTCGTAATTGTTTCTGATAAAGTTTAAGTCACATATAACTTAATCTTATACTTATATAATTTTCCAAAAAATAAAATGCCTATCATTTTTTATACAGTTCTTTAAGATACGTATCTTTAGATTCAAACTATCTATTAAATATAGATATCTCTGTCATAAAATTCGCAAAATAAATTATATAATTACTTATATATAATTTACTTTCGACTAAATAAGTAAAATAAATTAGATGCATACCTCTAAATATTGAAATATTAAACTTTAAGTAACAGTTTTTAAATATAAAAAAAATGAACTATTTTAATATCTGAAATGATTTGATTATATTAGCAATTTATCGATTGTTAATAATCTAAAGTATAAAAATCTAAATAAAGAATATATAAATGTTTTTATATTATATATTATGCATGAACACCATATATCTCTTCGCATGACATTGTACACATGGAGGTATATTAAAGTGAAATATTATGGAAAGATATAGAAACCTATTCAGTAGGCGTCTCTTCAGTAGGCGTTTCTTCAATAGGCCGTGGGGACGAAACCAAACCGCGGATGCACAAGTCGTACACTACCTCTTCAATTTTTTTTACGTCATACTTGAGAGCATCAAAACGTTTCCTCAATATATCATTCTTTAAGTTTAACAGCCGAAATCCTGCGTTTAATTTATTAACGAATGTTGCGATTTCTATTGGCCAAGAATAATGACCATTCGTGACGCTATTTACAGCAAAACGGCTCTAAAAAGAACATAGTTATGAAACTGTTATGTGAGAAAAATATACATACCATTATAGAAAATACATACTAATTCAGCAGACAACTGAAGCAGACCCAGTAAAAAATCTTCTAGATCCAAATGGAAGCCGTCCTCTCTGTTATTTTTTACTGCAAGAAAAATGAAAATTATTCTGAGTTTATCAAAATTAAGTATAGTATGTAAAAGCAAATGTTTAAATGCACAGAATTATTTAAACATTAAATATGGTTATTTATATACCTCCTAATATATCTGCAACAGTTTTCTTGTCAACTAAGAATTTAATTTCGAAATATATTACTAGAGCAACTAGAAAGCACAGCCTTTGAGTGACAAAACGCCATTGATCGTGATAACGATAATACTGATTGTTTGGTACCACTTCAGCAAGACTCGCATATTGTATTTTTATGTCTGCAAATATCTCTCTTGCTTTTGAACAATATTTCGATACAACTGTAATTTATCAATAACAAATAAATTATTATATATAATATATATTTTATATTATATATATATATATATATATATGAAATTCTATAAAATTTATGTTTAAAAACATACTTATATTTTCCTCCATTGTGCGATGAACTGTGTGAATATTTTGCAATGTCATCAATATATCCCTAGAATTTTTCTCGATATTCTTCACAATAACACGGATTTGCTAAAACGAAAAGTAAAATTTGATAAAACACTGAAAACATATTTTGCTTCTTATGTCTTGATTTTATCTCCTGCTTTTTCTCTTCCTTTGCCGTTCAATCAACAACCATGTTTCTGATCCAAAGTTGGTTTTGGGAGACAGAAAACGATAAGAAAAATGCGATAAGAGAATGTGAGAGATACAAAAATCAGGCTTAAAAGATACGGAAAACAATCTGCTTTTAGCAGCACAAGAAGAGAGTCGATAACACCCTTCAACATACTTTTTGAATTCTTTAAAATGGAATTTCATTCTAAAGATTGAAAAGTGAGCCAGTCTTGAAAAAGACTGGCTTAATTTTCAATCTTTGAGAGTGAGATTTCACTCTTCAAAATGACAATTTATGTTGAGAATGTGGAATTAGCGTTACAATAGACAAGCTGTTAAATTTGAGCGCTTTTGTGAACCTCAAAATTTAAACGGAAAATTGAAAAAGAAATAGGAAGATACGAAATTGCACACGATCTAGTTCACAACATAACCTAATCAGAGTCCGTTCTCGAACACATCAATACACACCTCGCGTATTTCTTGCTCGTTGTTCAGACAGTCTTGGAATGAAGTGAACATCTTTGTTATCCTAGAGGACATGGTGTATTCCATGCTGTCTTATTTCCGAGGAAAAGTTACTTTCGCAACACTGGACTGTGTACGAATCACGCACCGATCAATCTTGTCAAATAAACCAGAATGAATGTCGCAACAATCTACAAACAACGACGTAACATTTGTGCGCCATCGAGCATACTACGTGGCCACGTGATTCACTGGTTCGATCACAGATGGCGACACTGGGCAGTTTTCGCGCGCGTTAGTGTGTCAAGTTACAATTAGATGGCGCTAGTTGGTCGATTATTCGTCAGCTACGTTCAGCGTTAAATTTCATTTTTCACACTTAATAAAAAAAATGAACGATATTTATGTATTATTTAAATATAACATGCAAATAACAGAACATATTTATATATTATTACTAAATAAAAAAATATAGCCCGATTTTATTATATTTAAACAAGATATTTCTTTCGAGATAATTAATTTCTTATTAAAGCTTAATTATCTAAGTTCCAATATTAAATCAGATTTATTATTAATTATGTTAAACATGTATTTCTACGCATTTTTATAGCCTGCTACACACACGTCGTTTATTAATTCATAATATACGAAACAGCGGTATATAATTTTATCAGTTATTAATGTTTGTCATTTTTATAGTCAATCCTAATAAATTCATCTTTATTTGCATATAAATTAGGACGACAATTAAAGACGAAAAAATTTGATTTTTTTAAAATCTCTCTCTCATGAATGGGAGATATAAACTTTCTGAAATTATCTGTCTATTCGCAAGTGATATTTTTATATTTATTAAACGTAATAAAATTTCTCGAAAGATATAAATTTATTTGCTTATATTTCGACTTTATACTTCGACTAATACCAGAGCGCGGAGGGTCGAAACTCGAAAACATGCCTGGGCGGCGCGCACGATGTAGCGAATTCGAGCCGAACTGCAAGCTGCGAGCACAGCGAGAGGCGGCATTGGTGAGCGAGCCGCGTCGGCCGCGTCCGTTCGGGCGTTCGCAAGGTCTCGTGCTCGAGGTATATAAATAGAAACCAGTAGGTCCTGCTGCGCGCGCGAACTCAAGAAAGGCGGCAGCGACGGCTTGGAATTCTGCATACAAGCCGCCCGCCGCGCAGCATCACTGATCACGCACAGGTCGCGGAGGACGCCAATCCCGCGCATCCCTCCAATGGGGAAGAGAATTTGCGGGCGTGTCATTGATCCCGATACACGCTGGCGGTTGAGCAACATTCATGGCGAGAGCAGGCAAGAGAGCAGGGCGAGAGACTCGTTTTATGGAAAAATCCGCGCGCGCCCACGTTGAACGTTCACAGGCGCGATCACTCGCTCGCTCGAGTTAATCGGTGCGAGAAGTCGCGAGGAATCCGTGATCGATTGTCGGAAACGATCGACGGAAAAATGCGCTTCCATCTGTTTTTTACTGGACTAGGTTGCGGAAAATGATGTCATTCCGAGATCTTTCGCGGAGAGAGATGTTTCGCGAAGAATTTTCTCACGCCTCGATCAGATTCTTGATGGAATCACATGATCGATTTTGATCGTTAAATCCTCTTTCTCTTCCTTCTCGAGTTTGACCTCTTCGCCGATGTTTTGGTAACAATAAGCTTGTTTTTTTTAGCTGAACTTCTTGAACAGTTTATTTTTCCTCTTTTTTACGTCGCAAAATAAAAGAAGAAAGCTGGTTTCACCATCTCCGATTAGTTCGATTGACCGATTATTCCATTGGAATTAACCAATTGCATTTGTTAAGTAGAATTAATCAGAATTGATCAATCACGATCGAACCGACCGACCCAATCTATTGGAGATGGTGAAACCAACCCAAAGAGAAAAGATAAATTGTGCAAATAGTTCGATTAAAAAGAATAGACGTTCGTTTCTATCACCATAAATTAACTTTAATCTCGGTTTAACTTATTTTTTATCTTTTCAGTTTTTAAAATTAGAAAAGGATGAAAAGTAAGTTAAACCGAGATTAAAATTAATCTACATTGACAGAAATAGACAGAGATAATTCTTACATTTATTTCTACTAATGTAGATTAATGTTAATCTCAGTTCAACTTACTCTTTATCTTCTTTTATTTCTTAGAACTAGAAAAAGATGAAGAATAATTATTAAGTTAATAATTAAGTTAATAGTTGAACCGAGAGATTAGTTGGACCAAAGTTAATCTAAACTAGTTAATCTAAACTAGTGGAAATAAACATAAAGATATCTATATGTATATTCCATCAATGTAGATTAATTTTAATCTCGTCTCACATACAATCGTCGCACACTTCATCCGATCAAAGGACATCCTGAGAACATCTTTAGGACATAGAGATGTCTTCAATGGACGTCTAAGATGTGCTCTGAATGCACTGTATAGAAATTATTACTTTTGGAGCCTCGTACTTAATGAAGATTGATTCGCGAGATCCTGTTAAATTATATCGTGCTCTCGTTATGCGTGCGAGTCGCGTTTCTATCATCCGGAGTCCGATGAAGAAACGATGAAGAGAGGCACTCGGCCTTGCGACGGCCTTCGCCGGTTGCGCGGACCTCTTCGCACTATACTCCGTTCGCGATTACTTCGAATGCACGTGGATTTTTCACAATTTATTCCATCGCATTCTGTCAAGATTAAAAAAAAAAAAAATCAATATGTCGCCTCCCGTTCTGAAAACCGGCGTTGAAGACATTTTGCGCAGCGCGATGTAATGGCGCCGATAACATTCGTGAAAGCTTTTGCAGTATCTTTCCTCGTTATGTAAAGCGGTCAACAGCCCGCATACATATACAATGTACGCAAACGAAGCTCAGTTATATACGGGAGGAGCAGGAGGAAGAGACGGCGATAAAGGCAACGGCGGGAGGACCCCGTTAAACTTCGCATTCCTCTTCTCTCCGGCAGGCATCAATAAAATATCCTGCCGATGCGGATCGTCGTAAATTCGTGGTACCTCGGGAATGCTCTTACTCCTCGTCTCCGTTGTGCGCTATTTTTAGCGATGCCGATCTTATCTTGGCGAGAAAATAACGCGGTCGCACGTACGGCGGGCCTCACCGGCGTGTAAAGGGACCTCTCGTCCCTCCTTACCTCTTTCTGACCCCGAGACGTTC